AGGTGGAAACAAACGCAAGCATCCCGGTTGGCAATACATCATATTGGATGATCCAAAAGATACAAACACGTGCAAATGCGTGTTTTGTGGAAAAATTACCAAAGGTGGAGTTTATCGAGCAACAAACCATTTGGTTGGGGGAAATAGAAATGTAAAGACATGTTTGAAATGCCCAACTAATGTGAGAGAAGAATTGAAGGAGTATCAAACAAGAACAAAAGCAAGAAGGGAAGAGAGTAATGCCCTCCCAACGTATGAAGATTTAACTTTGATTGAAGAAGATGATGAAGATGAAATGGAAGTAGTTGGTGGTAGTGRTAGTGGATCTGGATCAACATCAACCCCAATGAACAAGCGAACAAGAATAAACACAGGTGATAATGTGAGTAGTATGGGTGGGAGAGGGAGAGGAAKTGGAAGTGGAAGTGGAAGTAGTAACTCTTGTAGTCCATCAGTGTTAAAACCACCGCGACCAAAGGGGCCAATAGATAAATTTGTGTATCAACATCCTGGAAAAGTTGTTGATGATAGAAATCGATTGAAGAGGTTGAAGSAATCAACTATTACTGAAAAATATGATAAAGARGGGARAGRTGCTACAKTGCAATTCATCATGCGTTRGATATATCAAGCARGTMTTYCTCTAMATACTATTCGCTTGAGAAGTTTTGAAGTGATGCTAGAAGCTGTGGGGCAATTTGGCCCTGGTTTGATACCWCCTTCTTATCATGAAGCTCGAGTAACGTACTTGAAAAAAGAAGTACAGTACACAAAAAATCTTATGGGCGATCATGAGGTAGAATGGAAGAGAAATGGTTGTTCGCTGATGTCAGATGGGTGGACTGATAGGAGGGATAGGACACTAATCAACTTTTTAGTTCATTCATCTGTTGGAACGTTGTTTATGGAATCCATCGATGCATCTTCATGCATCAAAACTGGAGAAAAGATTTTTCAACTCTTAGATGGAATGGTGGAGAAGATTGGAGAAGAAAACGTTGTCCAAGTTGTGACGGATAATGCCTCAAACTGGAAAACTTTTAGAAGCCMAGCGACCTCATCTATATTGGACACCATGCGCTGCTCATTGTCTAGATTTAATTTTGGAGGATATTGGAAAGATTGAGCAGGTGAAAAGGTGTCTTCGGAAGGCTGTGGCACTTAGTGGTTTTATTTACAACCATTTGTACGTGCTAAACATGATGAGAGAATTTACTAACCAACATGAATTGGTAAGACCRGCAGTGACTCGCTTCGCAACTTCATTTTTAACCCTAGCCAGTATTCACAGAAATAAAGCCAATTTGAGGAAGATGTTTATTTCTGAGAAATGTACCACCTCTAAATGGGCGAAGGACCCAAAGGGGAAGAGAGCAGCTGAAACCGTTATGATGCCATCTTTTTGGAATTCAGTTGTGTATACTTTGAAAGCATCAGGCCCTTTAGTTCGTGTGCTGAGGCTAGTAGATGGTGATAAACCRGCTATGGGTTATATTTACGAAGCTATGGATAGKGCAAAKGAGGCTATTAAGAGTGGTTTTAATGGAAATGAGGCGAAGTATAGACCGATTTGGGAGATTGTTGATAAAAGGTGGGATTGTCAACTTCATCGGCCTTTACATGYAGYCGGATATTWTTTGAATCCATCTCTTTTTTATGACAACAAAGAGAGAATAATGCAAGATCCTGAGGTCATGGAKGGTCTGATCAAAGTTATAGAACGATTAATACCATCTATCGATGATYAAGTTCAATGTTCAATCGAATTAGAATTGTACAATGAAGCAAAAGGCATGTTTTCGAGTAATRTAGCAATAAGGACGAGGGGTGTTAAAACACCAGGTAATGACATTATTTATTACTTTTAGTTTTAAATTTTTAATAGACATATTTAAGTTTGAACTACTAAAATTCTAAATCATTTGTTTAATATGTGCACAGCTGTATGGTGGTCTCTTTATGGTGTTAATGCTCCGATTTTACGAAAGTTAGCCATGAGAGTCCTTAGTCTAACGTGCAGCGCTTCTGGCTGTGAGCGCAATTGGAGTGTTTTTGAACACGTAAGTGAGAATAATTTGGTTTTTCCCTTGTTAGTTGAAGATTGAAAAATCCACTTTTGACTCTACATCGTTAATAATTCTGTAGATTCATTCCAAGAAGAGGAACAAGTTAGAGCAAAAGCGTCTTAATGACTTGGTTTATATAAAATATAACCAAGCACTTAAAGAGCGCTACACTCTACAAGACCAACTTGATCCAATTACTTTGGATCATATTGATGAAAGTAATGAATGGTTGATCGGAACACTCGAAGAAGAAGATGGTCAAATAGAAAATGAGTTGGTCTTTGATGATGACGACCTCACATGGCGAGATGTAGCCGAGGCTAGTGGTGTTAGAGAACCCATAAGGCAAACTAGAACATATGCAAGATCTAAAGGAAAGTCGCCTGCTACTCCCGCTCCTACAACTTCAAGAGTTCGAAAATCAGTGCAAGTTGTGGTTAGTGATGATGATGATGACACCGAAGAAGAAGAAGAAGAATTGGAAAAGGAAGATTGTGAGGACGTCCAAGATGAAGAGAATTTAGATTTAGATGAGGATGATGAGCTTTGATTACTTATATTTACTTTTTGTTCTATTTCAGACTCTACAATTTCTTAATGTTGCTTGTCTTTATTTGGAACTAAACTTATAGAATTTGGTTGTTTTATGCATCTTGTTGACATTTACTATTTTGGTATTGATTTTTTTAAGGTAATTTATGCACTATATATATAATTTTTACTTATTTATCAAGGTGCGCCTCGCTTCAATCGGGCGTCGCCTTTGTATCGCCTCTCGCCTCAAGGCGATCAAAGGACTCGTCGCCTTGCGGTGCGCCTTGCGCCTCGAAAACACTGGTTGCAAGTAGCATAGACCAGACGGGAATAAAATTTTTTAAACTACAGAGACCAAAACGAAGACCAAAATAGTATTTAAACCTTCTCTTTAAATTGTCTCTGGTAGAGTTCTATCGCGTCAACTTTATCTGTCCACGATGTAATGTAATTCCCATTGTGCTTTGATTACCACATTGAATGCTTAATGTTGGTTTATTTGCGAATATTAGTTGTAATTAGGTGTAAATATTAATTATTATTCTATTCTTATTTACATTCATTTTATGTATTGAGCCTCTCTTATATAAGAAGGCTATGTATTTCTTACTTTTGAGACATTGAAATACAAATAATTTTATTCCATCAAAACTAAGTTGGTATCGAGCCAAAATAAACCCTAATATCTTTAGAAATCACCATCCCTACCTTTAAACCCTAGCCGCCGTCATTGCCGTTGCCGGAACCCTAGCTGCTGTTATCCAAGAATGGCGCATCCTACTTCCGGCACGGTAGATCACTATTCCGGCAGTCGTCTTCTTCTGCAGTGGTGTCGTTCAAAGTTCGTCGTTCAGGGGGACTTTCACGGGTTTGTCGCGGACTTTTTGGGCTTTGTTCGATGGCGTCGTGGGTTGTTYGCCATCGCTGCCGTCTGCTCTGTTGATTCGAAGGTCGTCGTTTGGGGCTGTCGAGATCCGTTACCGTCTCTGTTGTACGAGCCTCACGCCTCTGTAACGCCACCGCCTGCTGCTGTATCGTTCGTCGTTGATCGACTGTGCATCGCTGTTCGCTGCTCTCGGAGCCGCCGCCATCCATTGCTACTTCACAGATATGCTTCTGTGGCGTGGATCGTGAGTCGTACATCTGCAACTGTCGTCTGCTGCTTCACTATTTCGTGGGTTGTGGGAGTCTTACAAACCCTAGACCGGTTTGGTTAGTTCGTCCGATCCGATTCGGTTCGTTCGGTTCAGCTCGGTTCACTCAGATCTGYTTGGTTTGCTCAATTCTCCCAGATCAATTTGGTTCGTCTGGTTTGGACCGTTTGGTTTGGTTCACCTGGTTCGCCCGTTTTGTGATTTGGCTTTCTTGGTTATTTGATTATCTCCTCCCTAATATTAGTTTATGGTCTAGTTTTGCTTCAGTTAAAGTACTATCATGGTTGAAGAAATGRAGCAAGTTTACACAAATAGTGTTGAATCAAATCCTTTTAATAGAAAGCATCTATCACAACTACTAGAGACGAATTTGTCATTTGGTAATCTTTGTATGTCCTTGTCGCAAATAGGTAATTATCCTAGAGCACTTTCTTGTTTTGGCTCATCTCCATGGATTATTGATTCTGGAGCTTCTGACCATATGACTAGTTCTTCTAAAATATTTGAATCATATTCTCTTACATATTGCAATGAAAAAATTAGGATTGCCGATGGTAGTTTCTCTTCTATTGCAGGCAAGGGAACCATTAAATTAACCGAAAATATTACTCTTCAATCGGTTCTTCATGTTCCTAAATTAGCTTGCAATCTTCTATCAGTTAGTAAACTCTCTAAAGATTCTAACTGTCTTGTTATTTTCTATGCATCTCACTGTGTCTTTCAGGATCAGTCCTCGGGGAAGACGTTTGGATGTGCTAAGATGCTGGATGGCCTCTAYTACTTTGATGAGCCTTCTGATAGTAATAAAATAACTCAGTGCTTTAGTAGTAATAGTTCTCTTTCTGTTAAAGAACAAATTATGCTTTGGCATTTTAGGCTAGGATATCCTAGTTTCTTCTATCTCAAATACATTTTCCCAAATTTGTTTAAAGGGATTGATTGTTCTCAATTTCATTGTGAAAATTGCATCTTTGCAAAACGCTTTCGATCTACATATTTGCCAAAACCTTACAAGTCCTCCAAACCATTCTATTTAATTCATAGTGATGTTTGGGGTTCTTCTAAAGTTTTAACTCATAGTGGTAGACGATGGTTTGTAACTTTTATTGATGATCATACTCGCTTATCTTGGGTTTATTTATTGACAAACAAATCCGATGTGAATGATATTTTCAAAGTTTTTTACAATATGATTGAAACCCAATTTCAAACTAAAATTAGTATCCTACATTCTGACAATGGAAMTKAATATTTCAATGAACATTTGAGTGAGTTTTTGAAAATTAAAGGCATTGTTCATCAYTCTACTTGTYGAGATACTCCTCAACAAAATGGTATTGCTGAATGAAAAAATAGGCATTTATTGGAGGTCTCTCGGGCCATATGTTTTCTATGAATGTCCCTAAGTACTTATGGGGGGAAGCAGTCCTAACGGCTGCCTACCTAATAAATCGGATGCCCACTAAAGTTTTGAAGTTTAAAACTCCTCTTGATCTTTTGAAAGAAATTTTTCCAACAACTCGTTTGAACTCTGATTTACCTATCAAAGTTTTTGGATGCACTACTTATGTGCACATTCCTAGCCATTTTCGGTCAAAATTAGATCAGAGGGCCATTAAATGTGTTTTTGTGGGCACGATTTTCGAAAAAAAGGGTATAAATGTTTTGATCCTCAAACAAGAAAATTTTATGTGAGTATGGATGTGTCCTTTTTGGAAAATCAACCCTTTTTTACCCAAAATTATCTTCAGGGGGAGAAACTAAATTTAGAGGATAAATATGATAATTTTTGGGATATACCTGTGGATATACCTGTCCCCCTTCCTAATATTATAAGTCCCAACTTTACTAGTCCTTCAATGCCAAAGTGTAGAAGATTCTCGCTCAGGGGGAGAATTACTACAAAATGATCAAATTGATCMAAATCCTGAGTTTAAGTTTTATACTAGAAGAAGACTCAATCAAACAAATGAGGACCGGATAGCTGACTCATCACAAATCCAATCTGAAACTCTGAGGGATGATTTTGAAACTCCAGGTAATCCATCTTCCATCCTTGTTACTCYGAATATTGAAAATGTCTCATCTGTTGTTTCTGATCTTGATGTCYCTATAGCCTTAAGAAAAGGAACTCGAACTTGCACCAAATATCCTCTTGCAAACTATATCTCTTATCAAAAATTGTCAAGTGGTCATAAAGTTTTTACATCTCGGATAACAAACTTGTTTATTCCAAGGAACATACAAGAAGCCTTTATTCYAAGGAACATACAAGAAGCCCTAAATGATCCAAATTAGAAACTAGCTGTTATGGAGGAGATGAATGCTCTAAGACAGAATTGTACATTGTACATGGGAGATAGAAGATTAAGAGATAARAAAACTGTAGGGTGCAAGTGGGTCTTTACAATCAAGTGTAATGCTGATGGTAGTMTTGAAAGGTAGACTAGTTGCAAAGGGCTTTACTCAAACCTATGGGATGKGATTGATTACCAGGAAACTTTTGCTCCTGTTGCTAAAATCAACTCAATTAGAATACTTTTATCTCTAGCTACAAATTTAGATTGGCCCCTTCATCAACTCGATGTAAAAAATGCTTTTCTGAATGGAGATCTTGAAGAAGTATTTATGAATTTACCACCAGGTTTTGAAGCTAACCTTGGGAAGGGCAAAGTATGCAGGTTAAAGAAATCTCTATATGGGCAAGCAGTCTCCGAGAGCATGGTTTGAACGATTTGGTAAAGTGGTTATGAGCTATGGATTTCTTCAGAGTCAAGCTGATCATACCATTTTCTATAAACGTTCTGGAAATAATAAAATTGCAATTTTGATTGTCTACGTAGATGATATTGTGCTTACAGGTGATGATGAAGTAGAATTGGCCACTTTAAAGAAAAGACTTGCATGCGAATTTCAAATCAAGGACCTAGGAACGTTAAAATACTCCCTAGGAATGGAGTTTGCAAGATCTAAGAAAGGTATCTTTGTTAATCAAAGAAAATATATTCTTGATTTACTTGAAGAAACAGGTTTGCTTGGATGCAAGATAGCTGAGACTCCTATTGAACCTAATTTGAAATTGGAAGCTGCAAAAGAAGAAGTAAAGGATAAGGAACGATATCAAAGCCTTGTGGGAAGACTCATTTACTTATCTCACACACGACCAGATATTACTTTTGCAGTGAGTATGGTAAGCCAATTTATGCATTCACCAGGACTAGTTCACTTTGAAGCTGCCTATAGAATTTTAAGATATCTGAAAGGAACTCCAGGAAAAGGTATATCGTTCAAAAAACACAACCATTTACAGGTTGAAGTTTATACCGATGCTGATTGGACAGGAAATACGATAGATAGAAGATCTACTTCAGGTTACTGTTTGTTTGTTGGAGGTAACTGTTTGTTTGTTGGAGGTAACTTAGTCACTTGGCGAAGTAAAAAGCAAAATGTAGTAGCCAGAAGTAGCGCTGAAGCTGAATTTAGGGCCTTAGCCCATGGTATTTGTGAAGGGATATGGATAAAAAGATTGCTTGAAGAATTGAAAGTCTTTCAGAAGGCACCCATACGAGTTTATTGCGACAACAAGGCTGCCATCTCCATAGCCCACAATCCAGTCCAACATGATAGGACTAAGCATATTGAAATTGACAAACATTTCATAAAGGAAAAAGTGGACACCGGTGTGATATGTATCCCTTATCTCTCAACAATAGAACTGATGTGTTGACGAAAGGACTACCAAAAGTACTTTAAACCAGCTTGAGGGGGAGTGTTGGTTTATTTGTGAATATTAGTTGTAATTAGGTGTAAATATTAATTATTATTCTATTCTTATTTACATTCCTTTTATGTATTGAGCCTTCCTCCTATATAAGAAGGCTATGTATTTCTTACTTTTGAGACATTGGAATACAAATAATTTTATTCCATCAAAACTAAGTCTTAATGCACCAAATTCCTGTGTGACAGACGAGGAAACTCAGGGAACTGTTTGAGAATAGGCTGGGCTGGAAATTCCAGAAGAACATTGCAACTGATGGAATATACTTTGATGAAGATGATGAGGTCAGTCAATATTTACTTTGAAAGTAATCTCTCTCCCTCTCATACACAGAGGCTTATTTACTTTTGCAGTTTGCTCCTGTGGTTGAAATGCTGGATGATTCCGAGTTGCACGGGCAAAGCCAGAAATTTGGGTAAAATTTTAACATCTTTTGATTCTAAATATTTAGGGGACGAATCAGAAGAAAACTATACAATCTCGAACTTTGAATTCTTTTTTAGTTAAGCAGGAATACTTCCTTAGCCCCAAGTTTAGAAATAGTTTTCAACCATCAAAATAGTTTTTTTGTTTTTGTTTTTGTTTCTGTTTCGTGAGAAATATACCATCTTTGATTCAATTTAGTCTCTACAGTGAAATAAATTTTTAGGGGTACCATCATTTCAGTATTTTCATTAAATAAGAGGAAATTTTGTCCTAGTATCTTCATAGTCATCCCTGATGGCATGTGTGTGAATAGCTATTCAAATTTAGATTGATACAAAAATGTGAAAAATTTAATTGTCATAACACTAAAATAGCTGTAATTAAAGGACTAACTGAAAATTTTATTACACAAAAATAGCTACCGAATGACCTAACCTGAAACTAAGACAATTTATTACAAAAGAAAATGATTCAAACTCACAAAAATACCCTAATCCCCTAATTCTAATTTCAACCCTTCCTCTCAAGCATTTGCTTGAACCAATGAGCCGACATCTTAGGATACCTCTTGAGGTTGTCTTTGTAGTCGATATATAGAATACCAAATCTCGACGTGTAACCCRAGAGCCATTCAAAGTTGTCGAGCAAAGACCAAGCAAAGTAACCTGTCACATTGGCTCCATCGTCAATGGCTCTCTTCATATTTTTTAAGTATGACTTGAAGTATTCGATCCTCTCTAAATCGAATAGTGCCTCGGGGAGTTGGATGTCGGGGGTATCCCTACCTGCCAATTTTGAAAAGAAAAGAAAAAAGATTAAAAACTTTGTGCTTATGATTTTGATTGATAATATGTATTGTTTTCCATACCATTCTCCGAAAGAATAACGGTAGGGTTTCCATAGCGCTCCTTGACATACATCAAAGCTTTGTACATTCCCCATGGAACTTGGTAGAGCCACCCAGAATAAGCCTGAAAATTTTGATCATATTTATATCAAATTTTTAGGGCCTTAAAAGGGTAATTAATTAAATGAAAAATTAATCTTTCTTTCAAAATGTGTTACCTGTGGACCAATTGGTACTCCATTCTTTTCATCTGTGTAAAGTAAAATTGACCACAGAGAGAAATTTATTGACACAATTAGTAGATAGAGAAAATTAACTTAAAGTTTAGGATAGATAAAAAAGTCTTTGAAAAGCACTTTTCAAAATTTTTACGATGTCTGAAGGTAAAAAAAATCTATTTCGCCTTTCTGTTCTGTAAAATTTTGAATTAAAAAAATTAATGTGTATATAAAATTAATATTATTAAGAAAAAAGGATACACCATGTTAAACTTATCCTTCATTAGGCTTTCTTCTAAAAAGTGCTTTCTCCAGCAGTATTTTTACCTCAAAAAAGCATTTTTTTTTATAAAAAGAAAAAATTATCATGAAAATTTATTATTTAACATTGTAAGAGAGAGAGAGAGAGAGGGAAATTACAAGCAAATCCAACGTTCCAATCATTCTGATAGCCAGGGGCTGGCTGCGGAGGCCAATTTGGGTTAAACATATAGAAAGTTGTGTATTGATTAACCCCCAAAAAGTCTATTGATCCTTTCACCAAATTAACCTCTTCTTCACTAAACTTTGGTAATCTTTCTTTCACTATTTCTTGCATTGTTCTTGGATATTCCCCATATGTAATTGGATGCAAAAACCTATTTCATTAAAACCCAATTAATAAAATTCAGTAATTTATTATTAAAAAAACCCAAAATCTTTATCACAAATTCAAAATACCAGCCAATGTGAAAATCTCTTGCTCTTTGTGCTGCAAAATTGTCCTCTTTTCCCCTTGTAAGAGGCTCATAATACACAAAATCCAATAGAATCCCAATTCTTCCCCCTTGTGCTGCCTGAAATGTTCACCAAATTTAGATCATTGTAGGATAAATATGAAAAAAAAGAGAGAAAAGTTTGGAATYTACTTGGTATTTCTTCCTGTATCTATCCACAGCTGCAGCATGGGAGAGGATCATGTGGTGGGCTGCAAGGTATGGCTCGGTTCCCGAGTTACCCTCGGTGCAGTTCCCGTATTCCTTCGAACATCTTGAAGGAGGGTTTATGCCATTGTCGAACCCGAGAGCGGCTATGACTCTAGGCTCATTGAATGTCATCCAGTTCTTCACTCTATCTCCGAAGTGTTCGAAGCAAAATTGTGCATAGTCGGCAAAATCGTTCCTGCATGTAGAAGTTTATTGTTGAGACCAATTTTATGAATTTGCTTAAAGGTTTTTTTTTCCTAAGTTTGATCAAATTAAACTTACACAATTTGCTTTGCCAATAGACCTCCATATCTCTCTTGAAGTGTCAATGGAAGATCATAGTGGTAGAGATTTGCATATGGGGTGATACCTACAAATTAGTTATAAATAATTATGGAATAATTATATTTATCATTATGAAAATAACATAATCATTGAGAAATATATATAAAAAAGGAAAAAAAAAACCAGCAACTACATAAGAAAATTAAAAATCCATTTTCTCTTTCAACTTTAAAATTAAATTAGAATTTACCTTGGTCAATCATATAATCAATCAATCTGTTGTAGTAAGCAACACCCTTCCAATTCACTTGACCAGTTCCATCTATACACCAAAAAAAAAAAGCTTAGTTAATCCAATCCAATGATTTTAAGATGAAATAATCTAAATCAATGAACATTCTTAGGTTAATTACTCGGAAATATCCTCGGCCAAGAGATCGAGAACCGATACGCATCGAAGTTCAATCTTTTCATAATATCAATATCCTCCTAAAAAGGAAAAATGAAAGAAAGAAAATTCTCAAAAATTGATATTAATTAAGACTCAAAAAGTTCAAAATTAATAAGCATATGATTTTGCACAAACCCTGTATCTGTGGTATTGATCAACAGCAACTTCTCCAGTGGCATTTCCAATAATATTTCCTGCTCAAAAAAAAAAAAAACCTTTAGAAAAAAAAAATAAAAAAAGAAGAAACAATTGAAATAAAAACATGTTACAAAACCTGGGATTTTAACGAAAGGATCCCAAATGCTTTGTCCTCGACCATCTTTGTCAGCCATTCCTTCTACTTGATAAGCAGAAGTTGCAGTTCCAAACACAAATCCTTCTGGGAATGCATCTCTGCTCAGCCCTCCCGTGTTGAGACGGATCTTCGAGAAGTCGAAACCGTACGACTTGTCGGTCGACTCGGCCCAGGAAAGGAAGAACACAAAAACAAAGAAGAATGTGCCATAGAGTTTCATTTTCATGGCTTTGGGAGAGATCTAGAGCTGGATGGCCTCTTGCTTTGCTTCTTCAGCTAAGTCTTGAGTTTATATAACATCTCATATGATTTTCGGTTACGATATCAAATCTCGAAAGATCTTTCGAACCCGAAATCTAGGAACTTTGGTTAGAATATAGTTTGGAAAGAAATTTTTCTTAAAAAGTTTAAAGTAAGTTGTTGAAAGATTTTTAAGTAAATCTATATTTTTGCTGACCATCAAAGAGAAATAAATTTTTCTCATTTATTTTTATTTAAAATGCATTATGAAGTTTCCTTCTTTGCTTATTCCCTCCCATTTTTTATTAAGTGGATAAAATTTGCTTTGGACAATAAATAATACCTTTATTTATACTTATCCATTTCAATATAAGAAATATTATGTATTAATGGTAATAAATAAATGCACAAGGTAAATTGTGACGAAAATCTAATCAAATATACAAATATATAGCGATCTTATGACATATATATTTTAAGATCTAGAGCCAATAAGAATTGTAGTAAAATATATATGATAACTTGTAAGAAAAATAAAAAAAAAAGTTGTAATACAAACCTATCCAATTAAAATAAACGATGGTTTATTTTTTCTTGACACATATATTTTAAAAAATAAAAAAAAAATAATATGACTCATATATATTTGGTATTCAATTGAGAGTAAAAATACATATTTTTACAATTTATGGCCATACATTTTATTTTAAAAATTAAGTATAGAAATAATTCTAAAATAATTAATAAAATGACTAACTAGCTAAATAAAGCTCATTTATTACTTTATTAAAGTTTTGAAATCTTATCAACAATTATTTGACATATATGCAAAAACTTTAAACATTATATTTTAATATAAGAAAATAAAAATTTATAATAAAGTACAGTACAATGCACTAAAATATCAATAATAGTAGAAATCTTGGACGTTGGTGTGCTTAGCTGTTTTTGTTTTGTTTCTTTTACTTAAAAAAAAAAACATTAAGTGTGGATCACGTTGATATTAACTTATATATTTAAAATTTAAAAGTTATTTTATTTTATTTTATTTGATCWAATTTTTTTTTAATATGAGATAAAACAAAAATAATTATAAATTACGTATCAATAATAGAATAGATCCCAGAAATTGTTGTGCTAATGGTACACTTTATATTAAAATAATTCACGTTGATATATGTAAACTCATATATTCAGAAAAATGTCTAATTTTAGGAGGATTTTTTCCCCAAATATTCTATCTTTAAAAAAATAAACTTAATTACTTTCCATTTTCTTGTTTTGTAATAAAATGTTTTGTTTTAATACTTTGTCGAAATACAGTGTAGAAATTTCTAGAATTAGAAAAATTTATATACACTGTAAATTGCCAGATTAAAAAAAATTAAGATCGGTCAACAATAATTTTGGTTTTAGTTTTATGTGTACRAAAAAAATTAAGCTTGTTTAATTTTAAAGTTTTTAAAAATATATTTTTAAGTTAACCAAAATTTTAAAAAAATTGAAAAACTATATGCATATTGTAATTTTCAAAWTTTGGTTAACTTTCAAAAAAGGTTTTTGAAAATAGATATTTGTGGCGTTGGAATGGTTTACCCACGATCCACAAAGTGAAGCCCTCACAATTTCTAATATATGGTACATTGTTTTTTTAGTACAATAGGTAGAGTGAGGATTCGAACTCACGATCTTTTGGTCGAAAATATGTTTCTTAATCCTTGAACTATATTTAGATTGTTCCACACACACTTTTTTTAAGTATAACATATAGAGGTGAGAATTTGAATTTACGACTTTTTGGTCGGAAATAGATACTTTAACTAGTTGAACTATGTTAAGGTTGACAGTATCATATTAGGTAGTGTTTATCATTTTTTTAGTACAACATGTGGTGGTGCACAATCTTTTAGTTAGAGATATATGCCAATCACCGCTGAGTTATACTCGCTTTGGCACAGTATTTATCATTATAGGAGTAAAGAATTGCATATATTATTTGAATGTTTTAGTTTTTAATGTTTAAATTTTTATTAAATTGAGTTGGTATTATCTAAAAAAAATTCAATTTAATCCCTTAAATTTTTACATTTTTTAGTKAAGTGAATATGAAAATTGACTGATGATAAATTTACCTGACACARTATGGATAGAAGGAAATTTAGTGGAGATAGAAAAAACTAGAAAAAACTTTAAATTTCTACCATTTCTTTCAAATTTGGAGGAATTTAAAACTTTCTCTCTTRGGTGACCTTTTTATTTCTTTAACCTCTGTCAATTTACTAAGTATTATATCATGTAAGTTTATTACTAGTCAATTTAAATATTTACGAGCAGTTAGATACTAAATTGAAAAATATAAAAACATAAAACACTAAATTGAAAAAAACACCCAAATATTTGAGACATAACGTATACTTAGTCTAATTAAATTGTACCCACCTCACATGTTGTTGATCTAAAAAAAAATTCTTTTTCCACATATGTTACACTTACTATTATATTATAATTTTATCTAACGCACTACTTTGATCTGACTTAAGCATCATACGATCTTTATGAGACACTACATCGATGTCTGATACTTCTTCTCTTGCACATAATTTCTAACCATGCTCGTATCCTGCGACATTGTTGGTTCACACAATTGCAAGTAAATACTAGTTCTTTGAGACCACTAATAATTGCAATAAATATAATTCTAACATATATACGRATACATGGACATGCCATCTGATTGTTAATTGACACGTGAAACCCAACTTGTTCATTAGCAAAATTTAACCAACYCATCAACAAAATCTATTTCTTCTAAGTGACACGTCAAAATATATGCTTTTATATATATATTTCTTTTYCATGCAATGATCATACATTTTAAGAGTAAAATTGAGAATTTAAAAGATTAAGAACCAATTTGAGAATAATTACCTACAAGGTAGTTTGTAACTAAAAAATCAGTTCAACAATAATACCACTAATACTATTTCTTTTAGTAATTAAAATCTATCCAACAACGTCTCTACTCTATATCCACATTTTTCTAAAATTGAAGCCACGRAATTTCCATCAGGATTAATATTTTAATCCTTGAATTTCTAAATACTAAAATTAAGAAGGAAAAAAAATCACCTTCTTTAATTAATAATTACCAAAAGATTTCATGAGAAATTTTGTGTAGAAAAAAAGATTCAGTCTCACACACCCTTTACATGAGGCTGACCATATTATTACTCTCTTTGACTGTCTTCAGAATAAATGCCTTTCTTCTTCTTCTTCTTCAGCTAAATTAAAACTGCCATTTTCTGTGAAGCAGAGAAAATTTTAGGAACAAAATGTCTAAGAATATTGGATCCAACTCCTTGAAGATCCAGGTTTTTTCTCCTTCCCCCAAACTCATACTCATTTCTTTTTCTTCGAACTCGGCTTGGTCGTTGGTGGTATCAAACTCATATCCGCTTTCGTTGATATTTTAAGTGTTTCGTGTGTTAGAGGGAAATGGTTTCATCCATTCTCTTGWAGGTTAGTTGTAAATGAGAAGATTTTTTCTTTCTTCAGTTCAACAAATGTGGGGGTGGGGAATCGAACATTCGATTGCCGAACAGAAGATTGACCATACCCGATTTATTTATGAATGGAGATTTGGTGTCTAATATATTCCTTTTTCTAAATAAGAGGGGAATTTTTTTTTTACCTGATAAATTTGTTTTGGCTTTGTTTGTCCACTTTGTTTTTACAGAMGCATGTTCTTAAAGTACACATAAATTGTGAAGGTTGCCTGCAGAGAGTAAGAAAACTTCTCAAAAAGATTGAAGGTAAACTAAGTTGTCTTTTTTTTTTCTTCTTTTTTTTTTCTTCTTAATTCAACTATTGTAACCTGTAGGGTGAGAGATCGAACTATTGATCTTTGGAATAGTAATAGATGTCTTACCCATTTGAGTTATTCTTGGATGATCAGATTATAATGGTTGTTGCTTGACATATTTAAACTGCATCTATAGTTCTTTTGTATCATTTATTTCTTCCACATATACATTTAAGTCTTGTGCTCCGAATTCGCTAATATTATAAATATTATTATTTCTTATAATTGATAGGAGTTTATAAGGTAGACATAGATGCTGAACMACAAAAGGTTACAGTCACTGGAAGTGTGGATTCTTCCATTTTGATAAAAAAGCTTGGCAAATTAGGAAAGCATGCTGAAGTTTGGCCATCAACTTTCAAACAAGATGAAGGTCAAGAACCAACCCTAAGAAAAAATACTCATGCCTTCCAAAATCAGTATATGCTTCCTATGTTTGAGAGAGAATTCAATCCTTCAGTATTTGAACATTACCTCGACTGTGTGTCGAGCGGTTTCCAACATAACCCGACTGCTACAACTGCAGCAGAGAAGGCTGGAGCTAACGCTGCTGATGGAAGATCAGGAAAGCAGATGATATCCATGGCTGATCGTGATGTTGTGGATCCTCAACGCTATCAGTTCGGCAGGTTTCTGGATGATGTAGGTGTTCGAGACTATCGGTTTGGCGTCTTTCCAGATTTCAGTAATGCCAACTGATACATGAGAATGATCAAACATTAAAGACAATGATGTGCTGCTAACAGTCAACAGAGTGGTGAAATTCTAACCTATCAAGAAATGTTCTCAATGAAAGGTGTTTGGTTTAGGTCTATTTCTATAAAATGTATGTTGTCATTAATTCATCCGAACTCTAGTTAGGATTAGTTGAGAACTAAGTTAATAGTTGGACTCGAACTTCATACCCTTCATTTCCTACTATTTTGAGTTGTTTGATATTGAACTACCATTAGCATGAACTCTCAAGGGGTAACTTTTTTTTTTCTCTTGTCCGCGTTCAACCATTGCAAGATGGAGGATCGAATAATTAACCTTTAAGATGGTATTAAGGTGCCTTATCCGAGCCATGCTTGGATTGGCACTCTCAAGGGATAACTTGGATGGTCTAGTACATAGAATGTTTAGAGATACCCTCCAAGTTCCAAACTTCCAAGTAGAAAACTTAATAATTTAAAACTATTGTTGTCTCTCGGAGCTTACCTTAGGGTGGGGCAAGGACGAGATTAGTGGGGGCGGGTTAACTAAATTGTTATACTTAGCTACTTAAAAAAAACAAGCCATTTGATACATAAAACTCAATGCCAAGACTCAAAATACATCTAACTTTTCAAATCACAAATGGGACAGAAAATGTATACTTATCGCTTTTGTGCTTTCCTCCGTCTAGACTGTGCTTTCTGCCACTTCTTTTGTGCAACCAGTTTGCTTTTTGGTTTCAACTTCAATTCAGGTGAGAATTTAAAATTTGGATCTCTCATCCGTGCTTGTATATCCTTGAAGAACTGCATATTCAATTTCTTCTGCCCTCCCTGTCTGAGCTCTGCATATTCAGGCCCCGAGACTATGTTTTCAAATGCTCCTATTAAGATATCTATATCACTCATGACCTCCCACACATTCGTATAACGGCCATCCGGCCCTTTCTTCAACTTCTTCAAGGCGTTCTCGACTGCAAGTTTCCTGGCTTGCTTTCCAGGGGATAATTCTTCTGGTTCCTGTTCAGCTTTCAACAGTTCTGAGATTGTTCGGTACTTCGATGTTTCCTCGAATTCAAATAGTTTATCTATGTATTTGTCACTACTCTCATTGGGGTAGGCCTCTGTAGGAATATCGTCATCATCATCGCCTTCACTACCAGTCCATAAGGTCTTCTCTTCATCACTCCCAGACCAAACACTCCATAATTCATCACTGTCATCAGCATCAATCAAGTCAGAGTGCTCCTTTGCCTGCTGTCTTACCTTTTTTATCTCATGTTCAAGACGACTTTTTTTACCTTCTTTATTGTCTGCCTCATCCTCACTGTCAGTCCATAAAGTAGATTCTTCTTCATTCATCTGTTTTTCCCAGGCCTTCCTGAATTCCTTATCTCCAGGTTTTACTTTGCCAAAGAGATCATAAGGTTTGCGCTCACCACGAGAATATGATCTTGATACTGCAAAATATACAAAAACATATTCTTGTAAGTTGAAACATAAGCACGAGTCCTTAACTGCAAATTACAAAAGTTCAAAGGATCTAACATAAAATAGGTTCATACAATTCAATATGATGCTTTGGAAATAATTATGATGCTTCTCCGAAAAAAATTTAATATTTTTCTCTCCTTTTCTCCATTGTTGATGTTCTTGCATATCTAAGTCCAAACATGGTGATAACAACATGCTTGTAATCATAAAGTGTTCTCAAAGAGTTGGCACTTTCAATTTCAGTACTTGACAAGTGTAATGATGTCATGTGTTTCAACACACCAGTACATGAGCTTTGTAGCACCAAATCAAAGCTAATTTTCTGAATGGCTTCCAAACTAAATTTGGGCCAAATTCTCACTTTCACCATTAACAAAAATTCTATCAGTACCCAAGTTTCTTTCAGGACTTCTAACAAACAGATGGTGCCCACAACAAACTATGACCAAACATTGTCACTCCACTACAACCAATTAACATAACTTCAATACTTCACAATAAACACAACCCCATTCACCAATCAACCACATAACCAAGCCAACATGTACAGAAAATTATAAAATCGAAGTTGGAAATTATGAGCAACCAAATACTTGCCACGGAAATTGGGCCCAAACCCACAACCAAGCCAGGTTCTCGAGCTTCTTGCAGCATAGTCCGAGACGGCTAGTAATCTGAAGAACGAAAATAAGGCAATTGGTGAGATTTTTTTTTTCCTTTTTTCCTAAAAGAAAGTTTAGGACACGAAATTGAAACAAAAACCCAATACAAGTAACAAGGGAAGAGCATGCTAAATTACTCATTTCATTAAGAATCTGAGGAAAAAAAAACGGGGAAGAAGAGGGCTGGCCTTGAAGAAGATGAGTGCARAACAGAGTGAAAGAACGCAAGGCGGGAACGGAGAAAACAAACGATCATTTTTCTATCTCGAATGTGGAATTCTCTCAACGGCTTTGGAACTTGATAGTTGATATCAAAAGGTTTTTATTTTTATTTTTAATTTTTATTTTTAGTACAATAAATTCTGATGACTTGATTTGGGCCAAAGTTTCTGCCGTAATAAATCTTGCTATGTATTGGTGTTTAGACTTTATACATAGGAATCTGTCTGATCAAATCCTCTTGTTTGTMGAAGTTCGATGGGGAAATAATCTTGCATTTTTTTCTTCTTGCCAAATAATCGAGCTGAATGAAAATTTTACCATAAAATGATAAAAGCTATTAGAATTTTTGGAAACAATAATTTATTAATTAAACACATTATTATCATGATTTTTCATTAATAAATATAAGTAGATATCTCATTCGTAAAGGATGGACAAAGATAGAAAAACTATAATAAAGATAAAAGATTCCAATAATTATTACAATTGATCTCGAACTTATATTTGGGATAAAGTTAACTTTCCGTTATATTACATATTTGTCYTTATATTTAGAAGAGATTATTTCGAAGGAGAAGGTTCCAGAATCTTCTATGATTAGTAAATGAATTCGTCTCATTTCATTTCACATTTTTCTTTTTCTCATTYTTACTATTGTTTGACTTATAAAATTTCTATGAAAAAGAAAAAAGAAAAGTAATAAAACTTCAAATTTGAAAACCCCCCATCATGTAAATGATTTGAATATAARTTATCATAAAATGACTTAATTGACACAATAAAAATTAGAAATAATGAAATGAATCATCATACTCCCAAGTCCTAAAACTAATTAATTACCTCTCTTACACTAAAAAAATATGTATGAAATTAGGGAGGAAATTAATCACTATACATTTTAACACAGTATATCACATTTCAAATAATTTATGATCTAATGTAATATTTTCATATAGATAGTCATATAAATAATTAAATGATTYAAACCAAAAAAAAAACACTATAAAACACATCTAGCAAGCTTCAGAAATTTGTTAAAAAATCTATACTATATTAAAAAGGTAGGATATAGGAAAAACATTTTTGAACACTTTTGCCCTTTACAAATTTACAAATTACGCCATTAATATATTATTACAAATATTAAATTAATTATTAATTATTAATTATCAATACTATAAATGCATGGAATATAAAAGGTTAGAATGCAAAAAGTTTTCCAACAACATAAAATTAATTTTWTCTTTAATTAAAATTCATACTAGAATTTCAAGAGTTTTAGAATTTGAAAAGCTTTGGTAACGTTTTATCCTCTACTACTATAAAAATATGCTTTCTTCTACATGTTTTTCACAAGTTTCAATACTTTTTTATTCTTAATTCCTTGAAACATCTCTCAAAGATGATTCAATCTTGAAAACATCTCGAGATATTTGTGACATATTCATCAAGTTGCAAGAGAGRCATATGTTGAATCTACATATCTCGAATACTAGGTTTGTAACATTACCATTCCACAATTTTACAAAGTTGAATAATAGTATCTGTCAAGCAATCTTCAAGAATGAACATATTTACTCTAAAAGATGAGTGTATAGTAAGTACTTGGATTTTTTTTGTTACTATTGTTATTTTTCTAATTAGTGTGTTTTTTATTTGGAATGTTTCTTTTTTTAGCAATTTTATTTAGTTTAGGATTTGGATTTTTTTTTGTTACTAATGTTTTTTATTGTTTAGTGTATTTTTTTTTATTTGGAATGTTTTTTTTAGCAATTTTATTTAGAATATTTGTTTAAAATATAGATAATTACAAGCTCATGTTCTTATTGTTGAAAAAAAAACAATCATAGAAGTCAATATATATAAAAAATGTTTAATTAATAAATTAATTATAAACAATAATTTGTATAGAATCGTAAAAGGTGGAATATAAAACTTTTGGTCATTTTATTTTCTAATAATAATTTGARGAATTTTTCTTTAATAATTTTAATTATAATATAAAATTAAATCAATAAAATAATTTATATTTAGCTAAAAAATTCAATATATATAACAAAATGTCAGCCMTAAACAAATATTTAATAAACAAACAAAATATTAAAAAAATAAAATAAAGGACCAAATAATTCAAAAATAAAAATATTAAAATACCTATTTACTTTTTTATTAATATATAATTTTTTCCTTTACTTTTAATTTATTTATTTACAAAATATATCATTAACAATTATTTATAAATAGTATATTTAAAAAATAATTATAAATAATACATTTTATTATTAGTAATTAGCTGTMAATAATAATAAATATATATAAAAATTAATCTTAATTATTTTTTAARATAATTATACTTAAAATATTTTACGTGAAATCATATAAAATTTAAGTTACCTTATAATTAAAAAAAAATTTATACGTGCATTGCACGTGGTAATACACTAGTTAAAATAAAAGTAGTGAGAAATATTAGGATAAACTATCCAACAAACCTCTCCATATCTCAACAAAATTACGATATCTTAACTGCAAAATCATCACAGATGGATCTTCTCATGCTATAAATACTGCCCAGTTCGGGCAGTWCGGTGATCGGGATCGCATTCGCCATGTCTGTGTCGTGTTCGTATTAGTGAGCCTTTGTGTGGCGGAAGCAGCCACGGTGGGGTTCTCCCACATCAAGTTCGGCACCGACGGGCTGAGCCGAGATGCATTTCCAGAAGGCTTCATCTTTGGAACTGCAACTTCTGCTTATCAAGTAGAAGGAATGGCCGACCAAGATGGGCGAGGACCAAGCATTTGGGATCCCTACGTTAAAATCCCAGGTTTTATAACATACTGTTTTGTTTTTCTAACCGTTATAATGTAATAATATAAATATCAATTTTCAAATAAACAAGAAGTTTTAAATTATAATTAAAAATCTCTCTCTMTATATATAGTATAATCAAATTAAACTGCATGTAATTAATATATTTGTAAAAGAAACGAAAAGTTATTAAATCTTTAAAAACAGATATCAAATTTATGCTATTTAATGAAATTTTTGTTTAAAAAAAGAAAAAAAAAATATATATATAATTTATTATTATTATTATTATTATTATTATTATTTGAGCAGGAAAGGTTTCTGGCAATGCTTCTGGAGATGTTGCTGTTGATCAGTATCACATATAAGGTACAATTTTTTTTTTGAAGAAAATGTTTTTAAAAACAAAGTTTTGGGATTTTATTTTATTTTTCAGAATTTGATTTTCTTTTTGATTTTTGATATTCCGAATGCAGGAAGATGTTGATCTCATGAAGAAGTTGAACTTCGAAGCTTATCGGTTTTCGATCTCGTGGTCTCGGATATTTCGGAGTACTAATTTCAATTTCATGATATATGATTAACTTCTTCTTTGGATCATGACAAAGAGTTACCAAAGAAGTAAAAATATTGAATTATATTTTTATTTTTTTGGTTGTTCATAGATGGAACTGGAGAAGTAAATTGGAAAGRAGTGGCTTATTACAATAGATTGATTGATTATATGATTGAACAAGGTAAATTCCAATAGAAAATTTTTGGTTTTTTTTTTGTTACAAATTAAAAATACGTTTTAAAAAAATTTGCCAAAATTATAAAAAAAAATCATTATTTTCTGAGATTTATTCGTTTGGGAAACTTGTAGGAATCACTCCATATGCAAATCTTTACCATTATGATCTTCCATTGGCACTTCAAGAGAGATATGGAGGGTTATTGGGGAAACAAATTGTGTAAGAGTTAAAATTTTAGTTTTCCATTTTTAATCTAATGAGATTTGTTGAGAAAAAAGGTTTAATAAAATTAATAATTTGTGTGTAGAAATGATTATGCGGACTATGCCGAGTTTTGCTTGGAGCATTTTGGAGATAGAGTTAAGAATTGGATGACATTTAACGAACCAAGAGTCATAGCAGCTCTTGGCTTCGATAGTGGCGTAAACCCTCCTTCAAGGTGTTCAAAAGAATATGGAAATTGCACCGAAGGAAACTCGGGAATTGAGCCTTACATTGCTGCTCACAACATGATTCTTGCCCATGCTACCGCTGTAGACTGATATCGCAAGAAGTATCAAGTAATTATTTTTAGATCAACATCCTGTCACTTTAATTTGTTTTTTTTTTAACAAAAATCACAATTACTTTTGCCCTTAACATCTGATTTTTTTAGGCTGGACAAGAGGGAAGAATTGGAATTTTGTGTGACTTTGTGTACTATGAGCCTCTAACAAGAGGCAAAAAGGACAATTATGCTGCCCAAAGAGCAAGAGACTTTCACATCAGCTGGTAAGATATTCCATTAATTTTAACTAGTATTGTTCCGATGTTCATTGTTATACCTATCATCGACGATGTATAGTAGTAGATCCAGTTATGCATATCAAAGTTTATTGGACATCAATGATAGACATATTCGAGCTATACTGTTCCAAGTCACTCACTYTTGACGATTTTACAATTCCAAGAAATGATCTAGAACAATCACTAACTTTTGACATAATTAGACTATATTGTATCGTCCTCRAATCGTCTCAAATGTAGTTTTACTATGGTGTGTGAGATTTGTGGAAAAGTTTTGGAATGAAACTATTTATTTATTTTAGGTTTTTGCATCCTATTACATATGGTGAATATCCAAGAACAATGCAAGAAATTGTGAAAGAAAGGCTGCCAAAATTCAGTGAAGAAGAGGTTGCCATTGTAAAGGGCTCTTATGACTTTTTGGGTGTCAATCAATATACCACTTACTACATGTATGATTTAGACACTCAGCCTCAAGCTCCTAGTTATCAAGCAGATTGGAAATGTGGTTTTGCTTGTAAGATTATCCAACTTTAATTTATTTTTACCTTTTTTCTTATAAATTAATTAATATGACTTATCTTAATTAATAATAAAAAAAAAATGTCTTGCCTTTTGTAGATGAAAAGAATGGAATACCCATTGGTCCACAGGTAAATTTTATTTTATTCTTTCATCTTTTTACTTTTATAAAAAAMTTGCTCTTCATTAGGCTCACTCTAGTTGGCTCTACCAAGTTCCATGGGGAATGTACAAAGCCTTAATGTATGTTAAAGAGAGATATGGAAATCCCAACGTGATTTTATCTRAAAACGGTACATAACA